AGAAGAGTTGGAGGCGGTGCGGGAGCTCGAGGGACAAGATTTGGTGGAGGTTGACCCATCGAAGTACTCGCCAGCAAGGAGGCGGTGACGGTTGGAGAGTAAAATGTAATTTTCGGTGCCGGAGAAGACGAAGAGGTGGAGGACCGCTCGTCGGCCGCCACATCCCTACTCGATTCGAGTTCGGCATCGATGGTCAAAGGTGCAGCGCACGGCGCCGCCCGTCATCCTCTCCAGATGCGGTTAACTCGGTTGGTGATGCCAGTAACCGCAGTGCACCGTTAACCGCAATGTGTGGTTAGCAGTTAACCACTAACCGTAGCAAGTGCGGTCGCGGTTGGCTAATATGAGGACTTTGCGGTTGCAGTTAACTGCAAATTGCGGTTCAGTTAACCGTAACCGCACCGTTTCCCACTCCTAGCTGAAGTGGTTCAAGTTTGGTGAACTCGAACTACTCCTTTGGAATTTTTAACCTTAACTTTGTGCTCGATTAGCCGGTCGTAGCAAAGTTTTTTTTCATTTCGCATAACTTTTCGAGGACTACAACTTTTATCATAGAAATATTTTCAGAATATATGTGGGAATTTGACAATTAAAGGTAAATTTATTCCCAAAAACCCTTATATTATAAAAATATTCCTATTTTGAAAATTTTATCCTAGTAAATGTTGTAGTACTCAAAAGATTATGCAAAGTGAAAAAAACTTTGCAACGTTCAGCTTGCGGAGCACAAAGTTATGATCCTCCAAAGTTTGACAAAATCCAAAATTTGCTCTTTATGGGTAGCAAATGACGTTTTCTCGGAAGATGGTCATCCAAAAAATTGCTCGTTTGGCGAAAAGATCCTATAAATAATTAAAAATTCACGTGCCTTCGCCCCGAGAAAAAATCATTTGCTTCCCCTAAATGAGCAATTTTTTTATTTTGCCAAACTTTGGAGGATCATAACTTTGTGCTCCGCAATCCGAATGTCGCAAAGTTTTTTTTTTTTTTTGTATTGCTTAGTTTTTTAGTACTACAACATTTACTAGGAAGAAATTTTCAAAATAGCAATACTTTTTTGGGCTAATACCACTACAACACCCGAACTATCGCAAAAATGCCACTTGTGTCCTATTGTATTCAATATTCCATGTGTGTCCTGAACTATGATTCCGTTAATGTTGACTTTTGTTGACCGTTTGTTTTTAACAGAAAGTCCAGTCAGTGCTGATGTGGCATCTTACGTGGAATTTTTAATATTAATTTTATTTATTTATTCTATCTAATATTAATAAAATAAGAAAAAGTAAATAATTAAAATATAAAATAAAATAAAATTTTAACCCACTAATCCCCTTGTCCCACCAACCTCTTCCCCAAGATCCAGATCTGCAATTCACCACCACACCACAAAGCCCAACCTCTTCCCCAAGACGAACAGGCACCCTCTTCCGCCTTTCTTCCAGGTGCAATCGTGCAGGCAAAGATATGGGGAAGCAACAACAACCAACAAGAATTGCCTTCTAGAAACAACCCCTCAAGCTCAGCGATTGGGGATATGGATCATCTGGTCGTATTCAGAGGTTGGAGATCCGGTTCTTCTTGTTTCAATGCGGTGGCGGCTGTGGCTAGATGGAGAGATGCTGATCGGAAATATGAGAGGATTGACGGCGGCAGGCTCGGGATACAGGAGGGAGATGCTTGTTTTGGGATGGAGAAGGTCGACGGCGGCGGCCGATACTGGTGGATTAACGACGACGACAGCTTCGGGATGAACAACCCCAATACCCCCGCCGTCATTTGCCTCTCTTAGCGGAGACCAAGAATGAGAAGGGTCAAGGGTGTCGCGTCGTTCTTCTTCTCCCTTGCGAGCCGAGATTGATTTGAGCGTAGATGGGGCAATTAAATCCCTAATTTGTTTGCTTGTGACAGAACCGAACAAAAAAATTGGGGAAGGGGACAGATCTGTGTCAAGTCGGCGGGCTCGGGCAATTTGGAGGTTCGGCAGGCTTGGGCAGTTTAGAGGGGAAGAAGGCGTCGTCGTCGGCGTTTGTTATGGATTGGAGAAAGAGGAGAATTCCCGCCGTCGTCGTCAAAGTTTGGGGGTTTTCCAGGTTAGGGAATTTTTTAGAGAAAGAGAGAGGAATCAATAGAGAAAAACAGAGATCGATGGAGATGATTAAGTTGCGACGGGGATGATTCAAAGTTCAATTGAGAAACACAGAGGATGGACGGCGACTACGCCTGGACTTTGGAGGGAAGACGATGGGACGGAGGAAGGAGGAAGGTTACGGTGGAAGAGGATGATGGGAGGAGGAGTTTCTTATTTTATGTTTTCTATTTTTATGAGAGTTGGAAAATTTTATATTAATAATTAGTTTTTTATTATTAAGTTTTTTAAATTTTTTGATTTTTCTTATTATAATTTAATTTAAACTAAACTAAATAATGACATGGTAATGACGTGGCATCACATGGATGTCACTTTTTTGCCACATCTACGAAAGTCAACAATAATTTGACTTCCGTTCGGTCAACAGTTATCTTTAACGGTCAACTTAAATTGTCATGTCACAAATGTCACAAACTCATATAGTTCAAGACACAGATGGAATATTGAATACAATAGGACACAAGTGGCATTTTTCGAATAGTTCGGGTGTTGTAGTGGTATTAGCCCTACTTTTTTTAATATAAGGGGTATTGGGAATAACTTTACCTTTAATTTTCACATTTACACATATATTCTGAAAATATTTATATGATAAAAGTTGTAGTCCTCAAAAATTTATGCAAAATGAAAAAAATTTGCTACAATCGGATAACCGAGTACAAAGTTAAGATTGTTGGAAATTTCAAAGGAGTAGTTCGAGTTCACCAAACTCGAACACTTAAACCCCACATGGTTCGAGGCGTACATTGTCGATCTACGTTTAGATCGAGTCCCTTAGACTCGAACAGTCACTAGTTCGAGTTCCTTAAATTCGAACCACTCCAAACTTAAGTATTTTGGGGGGATTATAAGTGCGGTAGTTTAAGATTTTTTTTTAATTTTATATATATTTAGGGAATTTTTCCCAAAAATTGCAGGGTGTTTGGGAAGAAGAGAATTGTTCTTTAAGAGAAAAAGTGGAGAGTTGAAAAGTGTGGAAAAATGAATATGAGATGTTTTATTTATAGTGGCAATGTGCATGAAATTGGTGTTACCACCATGTACTATTGGATATGATATTGGATATTTTCTTCCAAGGAATATTTGATAGGATATTTTAATTAGCCGTACCACTGAGTAAAGTTAGAATCTCCAATTAATCGCACTCATTGTCATTTCTTATACTAACTTATGGATCATCTCATACCTAATAATTAATATACCTCTTGTATACTTATAAACCATATATACTAATTTTTCCTGATTTTTAGAAGTGTTTTTATGCTATGATGACACTCTATCATAATAATATTTTAAGAATTCATGGCTGCGAATTCAAACTTCTGGAAATATGAACATAAAGAAATAGTCTTGTTAGTGCGTAATAAAGTCACCGTCTTCTTGGTAAACATGTGTATAATTGATGACTTTATTAAAAGACCAATTAATAATTACCAAGGGGACGAGAGACGACCCATAGCCCATAACCCCAAGCTCTCACGCGGAAACACAAAAACGAAGCAGTCAGTCGCATTCCTCCGGCCGCCGAACAAGAAGAATCAACGCTCCATCGCCACTTCTTTGTATAAATTCCCACGAATTGAACCCCATCAGAACATCAACTCAGCAAACCATTTCTCTCCATCAAGAAAACAGAGAGAAAACAGAGTAAACAAGAAACAGAGCATCCTAACAGAAACAGGGGAGGCCAATCTTTCTCGGAGAACACAACAATGGCGGTGTCGAGATTAGCTCTCGCAGCAATCGTGATTGCCGCTCTTCTCCATAGCTCCGCCGCTCAGACTACCCACACAGTCGGAGGAACCACCGGATGGACCATCCCTCGGGGCGGCGAATCGGTTTACTCCAACTGGGCTGCCGGCAATTCCTTCGCCGTCGGAGACATTCTCGGTAAGAAAGCCTTTTAGTACAAAAATATTTTAACGATCGGAATCAAATAAAGTTCTAATCTTTTTTGTTCTTTTTCCTTCAAAATTAGTGTTCAATTTCGCTGCTGGAGCTCACGATGTGACGCAAGTTAACAAGGCCGACTACGACTCCTGCTCGGCGGCCAATCCGATGATGACCTCGACAACCGGTCCGGCGAGAATCACCCTGAGCTCATCCGGCGAGCATTACTTCATCTGTGGCGTCCCCGGCCACTGCAGCGCCGGCCAGAAGGTCACCGTCAATGTTCTTGCTTCCACTACTGCGTCTTCCCCTGCTCCGGCTCCCGTGACGCCTTCTTCCCCTGCTCCCCGCCGCGCTCTCACCCCTACCTCTGCCCCGACTCCTGTTTCCGGCGATTTCCCGTCGTCAGCACCTGCCCGGACTCCTTCGACTTCCCCTGTTTCCGGCGATGTCCCCACGTCAGCACCGGCTCCTTCTACGAGAAGCCCGATGACTTACACCGTCGGCGATTCTTTCGGGTGGAACATTCCCACTAACGGAGCTACTCTGTTCCAAAACTGGGCCGCCGGCAAAGACTTCATGGTCGGCGATATCCTTGGTAAGTACAAAGTAGTACTTAATTAACCTAATAATTGCATTAAAGTAATTAATTAGGGCTTTGATTGGGGTACAAAACTCCGACGTGCAAAACTCCTGATTGGAGGAGGGTTTTTACGGCGTCCGCTCCCGTTAATTAGACTAATAATTATCAAAATGATTTCTTCAATCATAATTTAATTTGTTCCGATTTTTTTTTTTTTCTTTTCTTTCTGCAGTCTTCAACTACACCGCCGGAGCACACAACGTGGCGGAGGTGACCAGCGACGCCTACACGGCGTGCACAACGACCAACCCGATCTCCCTGGACAGCAACCCGCCGTCGAGAATCACGCTGACCACCGCCGGCGAGCACTTCTACCTTTGCGCCGTTCCCGGGCATTGCTCCGCCGGCCAACAGCTTTCCATCAATGTCACCGGCGCAGCCAGCTCCACCCCTGGTACCCCATCACCGTCAGGGTCGACCACTCCCTCGTCCCCTGCCGGTGACGTGGCTCCACCGTCGCCAAACTCCGCCACCTCCGTCGCCGGAGTGTCGGCCGCCGCGTTTTTGTCCGTTTTCGTGGCTCTGTTGTTATAGATGGAGTGATCACTAGACACATTTCAGCCCGGAATGTGATTTTTTTTATATATATTGTATTCTTGTGTTGGTTATTGGTTGTTATATAGATTGTATTTCTCACATACATTATATTAATAAAGGAAATTTTTGGAGCTCAAATCATCAAAAACCCATTTTCTTTCTTGCATCTACAATTTACGCGTGATCAACCCAAGTGTGGTCGAGAGGCTATGGCGTCGAAAAGGACTGAAATATCATACCGTACTGGCGGTTCAACAAAAAAAATCTTTTATATATGGAGGTTAAATTAGTAGGCGGTATGAAGCGGTTGAACCATAGTTACACCACGATTTTAGCATAAATATCTTACCACTGACTTTTCCGGTACAAACCTCCGATACGATATTTCAATTCTTGCGTTACAATTTTAAACTTAAAGATCCTTATTTTGAAATCCATAGCTCAGCAACTCTTCTTCTCCAATCTACTCGCGGTCTCTGGAAATTTTTTGACTTTGGTTTTGAGTTGCTAGTCTACTTTCACTTAGGATTGATTGTTAGGCTTAGGGCTGTCAGTTCGGTTGCCGGTTAGCGGCTAACCGGCTGGTTTAACCGGTAACCGCCGGTTAGCGGCTAACCGGAAACCGAAAAAAATGGGTGGCGGTCGGTTGTCGGATGAGTTCAGTGGTTAGGCGGTTAGCCGAAAAACCAAGGCCGGCTAACCGATGCTAACCGACCGACGCTAAACGACCCCGTTTTGGCCTAAATAAAACCACCCACCTCTCCCTAAACCCTAGCAGTTGTGAGCAGCCCCCATCCTCTGATCCTCCCCCATCCTCCCTCCTTCTCCCCCATCCTCCCTCCTCTGAACTCTCGTTCCTCCATCTTCCCTCCTCCTCCCCTATCCTCCCTCCGACGACGACTCCGACCGCCCTCCCCTGCCTCCTCCGCTACCCCTCCTTCCACCGCCACCACAACTTGCCGCCCTGCCTCCATCGCCGCCCTCCCCTGCCTCCGTCGCCTCGCCGCCTCGTCGCGCGCCGCCCGCCTCGCCGCCCGTCGCTCCCTGCAGATCTGTTTGCATGGGACATGGAGAAAGAAGGTGAGAGAAGAAGAAGGAAGGAGAGAGTAGAAGTCTATTGGAGGAAGGAAGGAGATGAGTAGATAAGAAAGGAGTGGTGGAGTTTTTTTCGTTTTTTTTTTTTTTTTGTGGATAATGTATGTTTTTCGGTTGGCCGGCTAACCGAGCCTAAAACCGGAACCGGCCGGTCGGTTGGCCGGCTAACTGTGACCTCTCTTCGGTAGGTGGTCGGCAGCTATAGGGGGTGTCTCGGTTTAACCGATAACCGGGTTTTCGGTTTTTGGTTAAACCGAAACCGACCGACTGCCACCCCTAGTTAGGCTTCATTGCTCAACAGATAACTCGTTGAGTCACTAAGGGCGGGTTGTCCTTCCTTTTTGAGTTCCTTGAGTAATCGAAACATCCTATCTTTGAGGGGTTCTTTAAAGACATTCGAGTTGTTGGAGGCAAAGTACTCTTATCTCCATATTCTTTTGTTATTTTCTAAAATCAAAATAAAGTGCTAAATGAACCTACTATATCAACATAACTTTTTTCAATAAAGAGCATCCCTCACACTTGGAAAGAAGCTTTTAGTTTCATAAACTAATGGTATGATTGACTACTTAGCCACATATAATGTCAAATCGCATCTTTCCGGTGTACATTTACCAATACAATCAACCAAATATCTACTATTTAATGAACTTTTAAATGTCAGAATCTCGCTAAGAATTATTTAAAAGAGTAATTGTGGGTTGCTTTACCTCCATCCACTTTCAAGAAAAAGTGAGATAAGATGAAGTTGGTACTAGGAAGAGCCCTTTCTTTTTTGTTTTTCACTATGATGACCCTAACTTCTTTTGAAAAGTTTGCAAGCTTTCAAGAGAAAGAGAAACACAAATGGGAAAAGGATTGAAGCAAGAATGGTCAAAGGCCTGAGTTCAAGTTCTTAAACCCACTTTTTTAAGGAAGATCTTAAAAAGTTGTGATTGGCTAGGGTGGTTTTAGGTAGTTAGTGAAAAATTATTAGTTAATTAGTTGTTAAGGGTATTTAGGGAATTATAAATAATATGAAACTTAACCTAATTAAAACTATTAATATAATAAATCCTGTCACGTTCTCCTTTAACCCAATTCAACCGAGCCTTCTCTCTCCTTCAACCGGTCGGCGCCTCAACTTCCCCCGCTAAAGGTCGTCGTTCCGGTCGTCAACTCATCCGCTACAGGTCGTCGATCCACACTCCGTTCCGCTATAGGTCGTCGGTTGGTAGTCCCCCGCGTCGGTTCGTTGGTCCGGTCGTCGTCTCGCTGCATGTCGTTGGTTGGTCGTCCCCCGCGTCGGTTCGTCGGACGGGTCTCCATCCTGCTGCAGGTCATCGGTTGGTTGTCTCCCCGCGTCGGCTCGTCGGTCGGGTCTTCGTCCCCTCTGCTGGCTGGACTTCTTTGTCGACCGGTGTATCACCTGTCATCCACCTCCCCTCTGCTACTGGTTGCTTTGTTGGCCAAGGTAAATTTCTAAGCCTATTTTGTGTTTGTAATTATTAACTAAATAGTCTTTAGTTTTAATTTTATTGGTGACGTTACTAACTTTGAAAATGCCTTCATCAATTTGTTTATTTCATTATCAATGTTTTTATTGCATTATTAAATTTTACTTGTGTAACGCTGTTTGCAATTTTTTTTGCTTACGTTTGTAATTTTTCAAATGACATTATCAATTTTTCGTCTTATGTTTTTTAGCTATTCTTTGTTATATTTTTTTTATTAACTAAATAGTCTTACTTTTAATTTAATTGGTGACGTTAGTAACATTGCGAAATGCCATTATCAAAATTTATTATGTCATTATCAATTTGTTTATTGCATTATTAGTTTTTACTTGTGTAAAATTATTTGTAATTTTTTTTGCAAACATTTGTAACTTTTTCAAATGCCATTATCAATTTTTCGTTGTATGCTTCTTAGGTTTTCGTTTGTTATATTTTTTATTATTAACTGACCAATATTTACTTTAATTTAATCGTTAGTTTACATTACCAAATGCCATTGTCAAATATTATTATGTCATTATCAATATTTTTGTTACCAATGCTCAATCAGTAATATTTTATTATAGATTATTTTTTTGGATTAGTTATTAACCTTTTAGTATAAACATTTTCACAATCAACACCATTAATATCAATTATCTGTTAACATTTATGTCATCAATTCGTAACTTTCAATTGTGATCTTACCAATGTTTTTAATAACTATTATTAACATTTTTCTCAATCATTTCATTGCAGTGGGTTTTTTTCCTCAAGACCACTTTGTTGCCTATTGTGTTGATCTCAAGAATAAGCAATTCCAATTCATGAATAGCTTGTCTCAAACGTGGGTTGGAACAACGTACAAAGAGTATGAAGAGGAATTGATTAAGTACATCGTTGCTTTTTGTGGCTCGATAATGAATTGTACGTTTGGAAGTTGTGATTTCAAATGGTGTATTTGTGAGATTAAGTCATTTTTTTGGATTATATTGAACTAGAATACATGCATTCACTTTTTGGAGGCCCCACCACAATCACTTAAAATTGAAGGATTGTGAATCTCTACTTTTTGTTGAGATTGTTCACAATCACTCAAAATTAACTTTTATGCCTTTACAACAAAAACACAATCTAAACCTCCAAACAAAGTATTTGTCTAATACATCAATTGATTCAATACATCAAATGATAATACACTAATTAATCCGATACATCAATTTGAAGAATCACAACTTCCAAACAACCCCGTAGCTATAATTTTGAGGAGTTCACATGGGTGGAAGACCTAGAGTTGAGCCTTTCCTTTGGATTAAGAATTGACGTCTATTTCCCTTTGGTTTTTATCGGATTAAGGATTGCCTTGTAATTTCATTTTTAAGGTTTGGCTAAATACAGTCAGCGACACTATTTTGGTTGACATTGTTAATTTGAAGGGAAATTATCATTTATTTATGCTTCCATAATCAATGTGGATGAAAATGCTTAGTTATTTAACGTGTTACTCTTTTTTTTATAAGATTTAACGTGTTACTCTAGTAGCACTTGTGTTCGTTATGTTTTTCATTTTCCTATATCTATTTGGCTTTAATAATGGTTATAAAAACAATGATAAACTGAAAATAAAGATTAATAATTGATGACATAAATGTTAATACTTAAATGATATGATTGGTGTTGACAGTGACAACGTTTATACTAAAAGGTTAATAACTTATCAAAAAACTAATAACCTATAGTAAAACGTAACTGATTGTGCATTGGCAACAAAAACATCAGTTATGCGAATCATTGAGCAAAAAAGTTAATAATACTAACAAAGACATTAATAAGGTCAAATTAAAAATTACAAATCGATTACAGATAAATTATTAATAATGGTTGTACAATTGTTGATAGGTTACATATAAAAAGTTAACAATGGAAAATGACGTTAATAATAAAAACATATTGTGCAAATGGCGGGTCTCTGATCCTTCCTTGTCAGAGCCGCCTAACAGAAGATGATTCTTCTCTGACTTCATCCAACGAGTACCTATCAACAATCTTATATTACGCTATTAATAATATCATCAACGTTTTCAATAATATAAGCAACGTTATCAAAAAGATCAATTTGTAAACATGCCTTATTAAAATCATGATCAACCAAACTAATGTCACTATCAAGTTCAACACATTGTCAACCCATTATTAACTGTTCCCAATATTATCAACATTTTTTACACAAACAATACTATTAACCTCGTTAACATTTTAACATGTTCGAATAAATATTATTATTAAAATCTTCTCAACCATTATCAACTTTATTTCATCCCTTATCAACATTTTAACATTAAGACATCAATATCATTAACAAAAAAAATGATACTCTATCCATAAAACCTTTCTACGAAAAACAAATCCAACACAATAAGATTCGGAAATGATATACACTACCCAAAAAATCATTCGAAATTCCATACCAACTCTAAAGCCGTAGCACGTTCCATGTCAACGACGGCCGCTCAACCACACAAGTCGGTCGCGTTCGGAGAATCGTCGTCGCGCGTGTGGA